TCTTGATCTCATAAATGTCACAAACATCGCCATTTGGGGGTTTCCATAAATGGAGGTACCCCATAAAACCATTGGTTTCAATACTAAAATGGTCATCCATGACTTGGATGATTTGGGGTACCCCTGTTCTAGGAGATGTTTCCCCTATGTATACATTCAGAGAAAATCCATAAATTCTAGGAGATTCTAGGAGATAATTCCACATCCATCTGGGTAAATTATCATATTTCACTATATAAATCTATATGATCTGAAATAAGGCCATTTGATGATGATTTCCCTATTGTTTCCCCTACTAACCATCATTCCAGTGAGGTCGCAGTGAGGTCGTTACAACCCACATCCATCTCAGCCATTTCGCACCCCAGCGCCCCACGTGGCGCACCCTCTGCGAAGGCCCAGAAGCGCTCGCCATCCCTGCGCTCGGGAAGGTGCAGCCGCGCCCCCAGCAATTGCCTGGATCCAGCAGGATGACGACTCCATGGGAAATCGGTGATTTAATGGGAGAATGGAGATATCATGGGGATGATATAAAACCAACAGGGATTTAATGCGATATTCATCCCTTCTATTGCTATAGATGTACCCCAAATACTAAAGACTAGGGTCCATTTGTCAGAGTTGTTCATCCTCCGATGCACCCTCAGAGATTCAACCCCCGGGCAGCACGTGTGCCATGTGGCAAACCCTCCCAAAGCTCTGGCGCTTGCAGCGCTGGAAAGCATGCGGTGGGCAGCAACCTGCAGAGTCAGAGTCACTGCCGCAAGTGATTGCTTATCCATGGCCAAACTCCACTCAGAAAACACAATTTTAGTCAGATATTCATAAACAATAGTATACATTATAAGATCTATAAGTATACAGTATTCATATCAATGCCTGGATTGCTACCATCCATCGACTCAATACCTGTATCGTGGATCATAGACATCTTCTATTGAAACACCACCGAGGTCTCCAGTCTTGGCGACGATTTAGTCCGCCAACTCCAAGTCCCGATGGGAAGCCAAGAAGCAGAGGCAAAGAGCCTTCCTTGGGAAAGAGTCGCCTCAATGGTGCCCGCACGGCTCGGGGCGTTGGCCATTGCTTGTGAACAAGACGGACGTCTCCCTCCCTGATGGCTGTAGATGTTTCCATGCAGTGCCCATTCAACATGGCCAATCCTGGATACCATACCATAGCCCATCCAAGCCCAAGTCCTATTCCTGAGATATTGAGATGAGATTTTAAACAGTTTAAAGCCTCATTTTCCCCGTGAAAAAAGCCAGGGTAATTGGAGATGTCATCCCTTTTCTGTCCAGGCGACTCCAGCATTCCCCGCACTGCTTGCCGTTTCTGCCACATCGTGCCCCGGATCGTCAACACCTGGCCATGTCATGGGGATTTCTCATCGATGGACGAATTGATGGGTTTAGGGTGGACATACCCTTTGGTCATTTAATAGTTTGCTATTGGAAATGGCAAAATGGTCATAGAAATAGTTGATTTACCTATTAGACATGGTGATTTTCAATAGTTTTTTGTATGTTTACCAGAGGGTAGATATGGCTGTTTCTTAAGTCATGGAGGATCCCCAAGTCATCATGGCTTTCAATGCAAAAAATGCTTCAAAGACTTGGATGAGGTGGGTCTTCAAATGGGGAGTCCGGGATGTTAGAAGGGAACATTATCTGGTTGGTGGTTGACCTACCCCTCTGAACAATATTTGTCAATGGGAAGGATTATCCCATATATTGTGGAACATAAAAAAATGCTTGAAACCACCAATCAGTTATGATTGATCTGAAGTGATCTGGTATAGAACATGAGAGGAATGTACGTTAGCTACTATGTGGTCACATTGTTATTCTTGTCATTGAAATTGTTGCACCCCAAAATCATTCTGTCACAAATGAATCAGATGCTTCCGGAATATAAACCAATAGTTGACTGACACCTGGGGTAAAACGGGTAGTTATCATTGAACAATAGTTGTCTCATTTTTGCAACAATCTTAACATGACCATGCAACAACCAACAACAACCATGTACCCCCTGTTTATTTGACTATACTATGGCAGCTATATGGAAAATCGCCAGTTTTACTAGGTAACTTGTCGAACTGGAATGGTCCATGTTCATCCATTTTCCAAAGCTATGTTACATTACAAGAGGATGAACATAGCTCCTGATATTCCCATCCTGAGATTCCCAGCTTTGATATGGAGATATGGATGATATTACCCATCCATTCTCATGATATTCCCATGAAATCACCACTTTTGGGATGGGTGGCTTAGCTACCAACCAGTGAATGTTTTTATCCCAGCCATTCCCAGCCATTCGCCAAAAGCCATTGGTGGTTTCATCCCGGCGAATGTAAGCAATTGGTCACATAATCATAATTCATCCTATGCGGACGCATACCTACAATTATATAGAGATTGATTATTTGTAGATATTATTGTACAATGTGTACTGTCTTTTATTTTTGTGTAGCTAAAGTATACACATAAATGCAAAAGGTGTCGCCTACAATTATAGTATGTATCTGATGGGATTCCCTACATCTAGCTTCAAAAGTTCAAACGTGTCTGCAATAGAATCATAGTAAAAAAAAACAAAAAAACAACATTGTGGGTGAGTCCAAACACAATATGGTACCCCCAACTTGAATGGTCTTTGAACATCTTGCCCATTCAAACAAAACTATGTGTTGAGATACCCCATTTCGAATCAAATCGATTCACATCAGATTGCATATTCTTTGATTATTCTATATATCCACAGTATATATATATATATATTCTGTGATTCACATATATATATATATATATATATTGTATATGATATGTATGAAAAAAAAACATATCCACAGTAGATCCCCATTTTTCCATCGTCGCCGCAATCCCTGCTTAGCTGATTGACTCCCAGCCGCGCCTCGCGACCCTCCGTGGTCTCGTGCAGCACATGGACGCCAACAGCCTAAATTACGACATCTTCCGACCATTGGCACGGGAATGTTTTTAGAGTAAGACACAAACCATCTAATATCATAGTAACATAATGATATAATGTAATATAATGTAATATAATGTAATATAATGTAATATAATGTAATATAATGTAACATAATGTAATATAATGTAATATACAAATAATTCTGAGAAAACCGCTATGTTATCAGTTCTGAAACTGAAAACCAAAGCTTCGAGACTTAGAAATACTTCGGATGTGTCTATCATCAGATTAGATCATGTTAGATCTTCTGCCGCAGAAATGGACTAGGATCTGGAATGAATCCTAAGAAACAAACAAATAAAATTGTGAACATCCGCAAAACGGAGTACACACCTTTTGAAACTTTGAAATCAAGCTCAACCAGCAAACATGGGGAACCCTCTACACATAAACATTAGATACCTTAAATATATAACAAAGACAAATTAACATGTGCGGTTGCTTATCACACATAGAGATTGAAGATTGTTACCAACAAAGCAATGCGGTCAACATGTACAATGGGAATGTGAATATATAATATACATTAATACACAGTATGTGTAAATCATGATGCATGCGGATTCGAACCATGAAGAATGCAAATTGCCACAAGATTCAATCACGGCTATGTAACCCTACGTACAAAGCCCAAGGTTTGCCTACACTGAAACATTGAGGTTGCCCTCTTGTCGCAACATCATCGGAGAGAATTGCGCCAACTTGGACCAAAACCTTGTGACCGCGCCTCTCTTGCCTTTTCGATCAAGTCATCCTCTATCCTTAGGCACAGAGGCGGGGAATTGGGAGTCGCTGGAACAAGGGGGTTGAAGTGGCAAGATATGGTGGAAGCTACTGTAACTTTTGACATGTTTAAGTAAGAAAAGGCTACAGTTTATACAACTAAGTTGTAATATGTTGATATATGTTGCAATTATGAGCAAAGGCAAACAGCAAGTACCTGCTGACTTGCTGGGTGCACTTCGTTCTACATTTGCCAATAAGATTTCCGCCCGCGCAGCTAAGACCCTTTCTTCCTTGCTGCTTCATGTACTGCTGAAGAAATGCTGACAGTGCCAAGTGAGTTCTGCTCTAGCAAGGCCAATGACGGTTTCTTGAAAATGGATTCACAGAACAGTCAACCAAAAGGGCTTTCGCTCTGTGATAAGCACCTCTTCTGGAAGAGTTTAGGTTTAGAATTAATTAAGACTCTACCGTTTGTGTTGGCGTTAATACAATTATGGGTCTTGTTGGATCAAATTGAATCAAATTGCCATTTTGCTACTATAAGCAAATAGGCCTATACATACACACACATCCACTCCTATGGTGTTGCAGCTGCTGTCGACATATCTGCTCATCCACACCTTCTGCTGGCATCTTCTGAGCGGCTTCAGTTTTGCCATTACAAATCATGTCCCAGTTTCGATTGGAAGTTCACATTATGTTAAAGTATTTACAACCAATAACCGGTCATGGTATGACATTCCATATGCCTTTGAAATTGTTGACCATTGATTTAGAACCCAAACAAAATGATTATATCAAACATGTGTCTCACAAAACAAATACAATATACTCATTTGTAAGCTGAACCATGGTCAAATAACAAATACACTATACTCATTTGTATTCTGAAAACTGGCTCTATTGCAAACATACGTACACTGTAAGAACATATCAACACAATATAATATAAGCGGCATTTATGCGGACATCGGCCAGTGAAGTTGATTATCCTTCACCCAGATTGATGGCTATCTCAATCACCAGAGACATCCACGTGTTTTTATTGCTTTATTCTTAATTCCATATAATCCGTGTTTGAGAGGTTTCTCTACTATGGGGTATAATAATCCCCACAAACCCAGGTAGTATAACTATCTATTTCAAAAATCAACAAGGCCCAAGGCTATGTTGAATAGCTCCAATATATATATAGTATATGATGTATATATATATACTGTATATCTACAAATATATAAATATATATATACATCCCCTATGGTTGGTATAACTCCCCCAACGATAACCGGCTCAACGCCCACTCAACGGGTGGATTTTTTTCGTATCAGCTCCGCGTGAGGTCGTGCACCAGGTCGCAGAGCATATCCTCAGAGAGGCGACCAGAGCCTTTGATTTTTACCCCAGGGCAAAACCATGGAAAACCCATGGAAAACCCATGGAAATATGAGTGGAAAACCATGGAAACCCCATGGTTTGTTCAAGGAAAATGATCTACACATGTTTTTTCCACATCTATGTCAGTTTAGCCTATACTGCATGGAAATATACGAGTAATTAGTGGATATATTTTTTTTTGTGGATCATATTATGGTGTCTATCTTGGATATATCTAAAACATGGAATTGAAGCACCATAAGTTAGGTTTAAGGAACAAAAATAGAAGTGTAAGCAATAAACAATTGGATTCATCTAAGAAAACAATAGAAAACATGGATTTAACCAACATAATTGGTAATTTAAGCCAGAAACGTCGTCGCTATAGTGCTTGTCCTAAAATCAATTGGAATTCAAGGCCAAAATAATTGGGATGTACAGTGACCTCCAAGAAAAGAGGGTCGGACCGGCAAACGTGAATGTTTAAGCGCGAAGACCACCAAAAGCTGAATTATATTGAATCGTATGACTTGTGGAATCTTGTGGAACCAGCTGTACCTTTGGTGATTGAAACTAAATTCCAACATGAAGAGACAAACGCTATCAAAAAGGAATGGGGATTTCAAACAAAACAACTGTGTCTCACTGAAACACATGGGAGTAATCTGGTTGTTTGTTGAGCCACCTCCCTGAACAGTTTGGGTTCCCATATCGTATCCAAGATGACAAATAGAAGATCATCAAAGGTCTAGTGCCAGCCAAGGTCTCGGTGAATTTTCGACCCGTTGCCCGTTGAGTGTATCTTGTGACATTTCTGCAAAGAGTTCCACTGATCTCCGTATGTCATCTCCTTGTGTCTGCTTCTTTCTATACAGCTATATATATATATAAAAATTATGTATCACATCCCCATCTTTAGCTGAAAATTGACCAATATTGGTTGCTGACGAGTTATTTCATGTCCATTATTGTCCTCTACTGCCACATACTGTTCCATCCCCAATTACATAAACCTTGAGAATCGGCCATTTGAAGATGGAAAGAGTCTTCCGCCCCCCAAAAAACGGGCACGGTTTATGCTAGTTGGAGGGAACGCCCGTGTGTTTGATCGCAAGCCATTTTATCATCATCATCATCATCATCATCATCGTCTTATCAGCTATTATCACCCAGTATATCCTTGTTCTTATAGTTCCTATCATCCATATTCTCAGTTCCAAAAAGACATTCCATGCTCATTCCATTAATATTCCACTTATGGCCCAAAATACCAGCTATAAGTCACTTACAAAACCATTTATGGATTGTATAATCCCATAGAAATAACCACAAAATCACTCGTATTTCAGCCTTATGGCTCTGTCACTCCCCACCTGCCTCTCCTCTGTCTCCACCTGCCATGACCGGCACCAAGCGGCGCAGGAACCCATCATGGTGCACTCGGTGATGTTGCCCACTAGCGTGGACGTCAAGCGTGGCGCACCGCCTGTGCCTGGTGGTCTCCCCCTTCCCACCCCGAGATGGTGATGCTCCCTATGAGTATATGTATATATATATATATTATATGTGTATATATATATATACATATGTATTTATATAATATGTCTATATTTATATAACATGTTACAGTACACATATACGAATAGTTATATGTATATGTGTACACATATGTACCAAGGCAAGCTATTAATATAGTAATGCCACAATCAGACACAAATCCATAAGTTTATTCATCTCCAAGAACCCTGTTAGTGGCTGGCAGTACTCCCCCCGAACCATCAACCAACAGGGTTCCATTGCACCATTCACTTTCAGGAAACACGGGTTGATGGTTGAGTATTCCCAATCCATTTGATCAAATCAGCATGTGGCTTGGTCAAATCAATCATCTGCAACAAGGCCGCGAAAAAAATGACGTCAATGGATGCTTATCCCAACAGAAACTACCATAGATATTAATATGTGTGTTGCTTCCATTCCAATCCCGCAGAGCATTTCCCAAATGTATTCCCACTGTCCCTAAAAAAAAGCATGCATCCTGCAGCCGAAAAAACTCTCAGTATCTCAGAGCCGCCTCGACAGTCGAAGCCCTCGAAGTTGTTGATGGCCACCGAAGGGTTCGGAGCCTTGAAAATGGTTGGGGATTTCATGCGGATTTCATGGGAAATCAGGGAGATAACCATGGCATGCTTCAGCTATCAGGTTGGGAAACTCTTGCTAGCTCCAACTGGGAGACCCCACAGGGAATTTGTATACTCAGTAAGCTCCTCACCGCTTCCCTCTAACCACTGGATAGTTCACGGAAAATCGGAAAATCTACAGAACAAAAACATGGTTTTCACCATGGTATTCCCATCAAATATGGGGCTTTCCTGCAAAGTCCGCCTTCAATGAGGATTTTAGCAACGATTACCAAGATGTGGAGATAGTGGGAATAGAACCAATGGATAACATGTATGGAATATGTAATATCCAACTCTACATATTAATATACGTATAATTATATATAATATACATATCATATAAATCCATAAAACATATAACTGGAATTAAATGGATATTTACAACACATTACAATTAGGTTCGGTGTGTAGCAACCCACTAAAGAACAAATTTGGACCTAGAAACTGGGGTTACCAAGGGATGCAACCAATCGATTATTTTTTGGATGGTTGGCACTCATTTCCTCAAATCGTTCACAAGCGTGTCATGAGGTTCCAGATATTGTCAGCTGATTGATGTCATCAATAGATGATGGGGTGTGTGTGTGTGTCATTTTTGCAATCAGTGATGGGTTCTGCCAAGAGTGAAACTTGGGCACCTCTAAGATTCAAAGGCTAAACTTATTAACCAAGACGTAATGAACACCTGATAGAGGTTTCCAAAGTCATGGGACCACCCCAAAATCATCCAAGTTACTAAACCATTTTAGTATTGAAACAACCAAGTTTTAATTACTGGGGAACCAGCCTTGACTTAAGGACCACCCCAATTACATGAGCCTGAAACAGCGACAGCCAAGAGACCCAGAAAGGTCGCCAATTGTAGATTGACGGTAGAAAGTTGGCTAAGGAATCTTTGTCCTGCGTGCGGCGCCAAAACCCTCTTACTGAAACCTGGCTACGTTGACCTACCTTTGCAATTCAGTGGGATATGTGTCACATTGCCAACCAAAGAGATTCACACTGTTTAACGAAGATGTGTAGCAAGTCCAAAAAAATAGAAACGCAACCTCCATCAACATCATACAAAATAGTGACAGAGACTCAACCTCCACACTATCTTTCTGAAGGGGGTGACGACTTGAGGCTCCAAAGTGCCATTTCGCCTTCTCCCTGTAGAATTTGCGATAAAACCTGACAGTGCCGCGATAAAACCAAGCCACAACGGGCAGCCAACCACCTAAAGTCAAGACGATGGTTCACCGCACAGATTTCGAGTAAAAAAAAAATCCATGAAAGTGAGTCGGACTGTAACAAAAAAGAGTAGAGTATACAGATGAAAAATCCAGGGCTCCATGGCATCGGTCAGGGAAGATCTAAGGGGATGGGTTGATCAACCCGAATCTGTTGGCAGGTGCGAAAAGGCGATGCGTCCTGCGTCCCAGGAGATTGGCACCAATCCAGTCCCTGTCCAGTCCTAGACTTTATCCTATGTAGTTACCAATATTATCCAATATTTTCCTCCACATTGACACACACACATGTCACATGTGTATATATATATATAATTATATGTGTAATTGTTTATATAATATTATATTTATATACGTATATAAACATAATCATATATGTATAATAATAATTATATATATATATTGTAATTACTGCATGATACTCCACTTGGATTCCAATCAACTACTTTATCAGTAAGAAGCCAACTTCAAGACAGATCCATCCCCACTGATCGAGGCGCTCAGCGAGATTTGGATGGCACGACTGTTTCAACTTGGACAACACATAGCGCCTTGCCCGGGCTTGGCGCGATGGGAAGGCAATAAAAATGGTGATATGCATCATAACCAGCAATACTTGAGCAAAATGAAGATATAATGAGGATATATAACCAACAATATTATTTGGTTGTCTCTGACAAAACAATTTAACATTGGGAACGTTATGATTAACATATTCAAGTGAATTTGATTGAATTTGGGGGTACACAAGACCATACGGAGGAATCATGATTCGTTGAAGCCTCAAAAAATGCTCAGAATCTGGATATGTTAACGATCTCTTTTGTGGATTCCTTCTACTGATTGGTTGATTCTGAGGGTGTAGCACAGGGATTTGTAAAGGGACTCATTATAATTGCTTTCTACCAAAAAAAAAAACATATCCTCTGTAAAAATAGTTTAAGGATTTTTAAGCTATTTAAAGGTAAATCTATGCTTGGGCTTGTGCGTAGCCAGGGTACATGGTGAACCCCCTGCGGTTCTTCGATCCACTATCCCAGCAAAAATGGCTAGGAACGGGAACAAGCACATCAACGCCATGAAATGGGGCAATGCAAATGTGGCACAGAACTACCAAGAAACCACCTTATTTCCTTCATCCTAGCTGTTTACGCCACCGGTCCGACCCATCATCCATGTCATTCAGACTGCTCAAACCTGTGCAGATCATGACGCATATGGTTTTGCAGTTTTGGACCCAAAGTCCTTAAGGTTGTCTGTTTGTGCATGCACTTCCTGTGTCCGCCGAAAAGTACAAGCTACATCTCCAGGCTTTTGACCATCATTGGGTATTGATGCATGCATAGAATATGGCTGAGGCCCCACAAAGGGTTTTGCGGCGGTAACCAACTAGTCCCAAACCTTCCCTACTTGGTGGCTCTTCCCAGTTGGGAAACGGGCTGTGAGTCCAGTTATGACTGAACTAACCTTACCCTACTTATGCCTGCGGTTACAACCCACTTATGATTCTTGAGCCACCAAGTATGAAGACAAACAACTGAGCCAAGCAGCACGAATCTTGGATAGGTGTCTCGCATGACGCGACGATTGATCCTGAGACCGCTCAGTGGCTCAGTGCTGGCATACATGGTGCTTCATTCTGCTCGCCACGTATCATGTGTAGATGATATACCGTGTATATATATATATAGGTAATTCATCTATGTATATTATTATATATATATACCGTAAGTTTTATCATTTTTTTTTCTGAAGGTGTTTGTTATATGTACCTCTCTCCATATGTCTACATATATATATATATATATACACATCATATATCATATTCATACAAACACAAAATAATAATAACGAAAATATTCCTAACACAAGTAATTACAGTAATAATGATATATGATCACTATATCCCCCAAAGCATCAGCTTGACACTCTCCAGTGTGGTTTCCGCGTTTCCAGACATGTTCATCGTCCAGGGGCAACATCACCGAAGCATCCGTGGGTTCGAGCGACTGTCGTACACCACACGACCTGGATCCGGCCACGGGACTGTGGCGTGCCACAGTCGCGCAGGTGGTCAGATTGGGATATGAATCACCAATCCTCACCTAACATGTGATGATATATGATATATGTGATATATATATATATATGATATATGTGATAAATATGGGATGATATATGAGCGTCTCATATGTTACATGATATCAGGTCTTTGTTTTTGATATACCCATCAAAGCCATCAATTCTCTTGATTTGTGTCATATGGTGTTATATGAATATGACAAAACGGATGAATCACAAAGGAATGATAGTTTCGATACACTGCCTTGCATACAAAGTGCAGTTCATGGTTTCAGGCGGAAACTGTGCATCTGGTGAAGATAACAAATCCCAGAGCTGATTTAAGGCTCAGCCGCTTGCTCTACCAAGCATGGTTTAAGCATGGTTTTTCTTGGCGATATCAAACAAATGCGTAAAATTGCATAGACATCCTAGACTTCTCCAACAAATTAGATGTGATGTGAACAAATATCCCCTACCCCTGCTCCTCGAGATTCAACACAATCAGATCCATCCTCCCCACTTGGCACGCCGACATGGCAAAATACCGCGGAACGCCTGTCTCCCGACTCTTGGCGAAGTTGAATTTGCCTCGCTATGGGCCATGGGATGGATGCCTCATCAAACCCATGGTGGGGCGGCAATTTCTCACCATTCCTATTGAGGTCCCTGTGGTGCAAAGCTCCATCAACTCCACCGGGTTTTGACGCTAGTCACCGCTAGTCGATTCTGTATGTACTGTATGTACTGTATATTTGATTGATTTAAAATTCAGATGTAGATCTGGAATGATCTGGACTGTATTGAATCAAACCGAATACTAGGGTGGAGAAATGCCAGACCACAAGATTCGATTGTATATTATTGTTATATCAAATGAAAAAAACAGCAGACATTTCCTGGTTGGTGGTTTCAACCCCTAAAAATATTAGTCAGTTGGGCTTATTATTCACAATACATTCCAAACCACCCACCAGTTTCACATAAGATCATACGACATTCTCGATAAATACATGGCTAACCGGCTCGCGATTCCTCACGGCCACCCCTTGCAGAACCAGGGACCATGTGCGAAGTCGTTCTTTTTCATCCTCCCGCGGGGAGGACGGTTTAGCCAACGGTGTCATCAAACATAGCAAGCTGGAAATTCGTATACAAATGGCGGTTTATAGCTGGGAAACTCATCGAATTTAATGGTGGATTTTCCGTTGCAATGTTTGCCGGACGGCAGATGCTCCAGTGGCTGTGACTCTGGTACTGATGCAAGTTTGCACACTTGAGCTCACTGGGGTCTGTTTCGATCACAGCAGGGTGGTTGGTGAGTTCAGGGAGTGGTTCTCCCTGCTGTAGATAAAGATCCAAGACGGATGTAATCCGGGGCAGGAAAACTGTGGAACCTGCAGGTGCGTATGTGAGATCACCTACTGCCTTTGGGACCAATGCCGCGCCCAGCCTGAGTTTTGACTGCTTACCTTGGCCGCAGGGAGGTCTCAGTCAGGAAGGTGAACTACTGATACTGTTCAAGTCGTAAACCCAGCAATTAAACTTAAACATCATCAATTGGTGTTATTATTTTGAACATTTCTGGCCACAACAATTAGCTGCGGTTCATACGAAACATATACATTTCAATCTGTGGTCCCTTCTGGGGCTTCAATGGCTTGACCCATCCCCATATCCAGCTTTTGGGATGATGGCAGTGACCTATTTGGCTACTGGGACTGTTTATCACTTTACCTTTCAACGCGGTAGTTATATGTCTATTTCATCGTCAAGGTATGTTCCTCGCACAAAAACGACACCTGGGGGAACGTTGAGCGACCAATTTTACATTGAAGAAAAGGGATGAGGTGTGCCAAAAAATGCATCTTACATTTTGGTATGGTCCCCCCTGAGACGGGAGCTTTGAAAGGGTAATAAGAAAATGTAAATTATATATGCATACACACATACATATCCCAATAGCAGTTATTATACTCATTAATTATCTAATAATAGTGACATATACTAACTTATTCTCAATTAGACTCACCCTGGTACGGCAGCTTAAACCTCCACCAAAAGGGCAGAGAGCCCCCTGGCGGATCTCCAGTCATGGTCCACGACTGGATGACGACTGGGGCCCCATTCCACTGGTGAATCTTGGGGGAATTCTACCCCTTCAGGCACCCAAAAAAAGGCTGTGAGAATGGCAAAATTGGGCCAGAAAAAACAAGTAATCTCCCAAGGTGGCCCGGGTGGGTTAAGTTGAAAACGTGATGAATTTGATGTGGTAAAGCCAAGAATAAACCAACCCAACCCAACCCCAATTACACCAGAAATAGTTGTTTAAACCTCCCACAGGATATTATTGGGTTTACCATATGATCTTTGAAATGGATAGACCTGGAGCTTTTCGAGTTTTGTTTATCCGATGATACTACGGTTTCACCAAGTGGCTTTCTCCCAGGAGACCCGTCCATGTCACATCTTTGGTGAAAATCATGGTGTTCCCAGTCAAGAGCCTCGCATTGGAACACAAGCTTCTTTCCCCGCAGGGCCGAAGTTGGACATTTCTGTGGGGCAAGACATCGGACAGAGAAGGGTATATCGCTGGCTGTTAAGTTCACAAAAAAAATGAGTGTACCTAGCAAAGATTGGAAATGAAAGATAGGAAATGAAAGATCGAATTGACGTATCCTGAGAATTATGCAAATAAATACTGTACATGCAGGAATCACCAGCAAACATGGGCATACGTCCTTAAGATATCCCTAGGGTCTTTACTTCTCCTTTCAGAGAGTTTTTGCGAAGGGCAAGGTTCAGATGGACAGAAACCCGATTCATCAATTTGTCTTCATTATGAACCATCTTGCCCATATATTCCATGGGATATTTGCCCACATCTGAGTCATTTTTGGGATTGTTCCTAAACATTCCATACGTGGAGAATTGGGGTTGAATGAAAACTCCCACCGTCGAAGCTGGCGATATGTAGAGGTTTATTGCAGAGGCAAACATATCAATCTCTCTCTATATATATATATATATATTTACATATTCATCAATGAAACCTGGAAAAAAAAACACATGGGAGAACCCCTTGGAGTTGACAAGACTTAACATCTACAAAATTGAATGAAATTGCCTTGTTTATTGCCAGCTTTGGTCTCCAGGGATACCGATACCGCTGTGCCAAGGAGCAGAAATTCGTCCGGCAATCCCAGGGCCTCGGAACCAAACTTGAGGCGCAGTTCCAAGAAAGCAGACATCTTGCCTTCATCCATAATATTCACCGTTGGATATATATATATATAACATATAACATATATATATATATAATATTATGTATATATATATATAAATGCCTACTTGAATCTGCTTGATATTTTGCAAATCTACCCATATTGCATATATGCTACTGTAATTGATCTGGGCATTCTCCGGGAAGAATGCAATGTCACAGTGCAAGGTCTAGTGACAGGTATATACAGAGTATCATGATATCATGAGATACATCAGTTCAACACAAACTTGAAATTAGACAAAGTCAACCAGGATTGGTTTAAGGGAACATATTAACCAACAACCATGGTGTTTTTTTTTACATGTTTTTACCATCTGACTGGAATTTCCTGTTGCACCATGATGTGGATCCGTGCAGAAGTATGGCAGCTTCTGCTGATAGTGGCCCTTTCTGAAAACGCGGATGTGGCTGTGTCTCAAAATGGTCTTTGCCATGGTATATCCAGTAAATGACAATTTAAATGGGAACATCATATGCCCAATCTTCAAACAAACCCATTCAAGATTTTAAGCCAAAAAAATGTCTTACAGGGTACACATTCAGTTTTGACAGGCCAGCAAGAGGGAGAGCTGGCGTAGAGGGAGATGAGGAGGAAGAGGAAGAGTGCACCTTTGTTAAAATCTAGAGACCTTCACCTGGCAGGTGGGGGAAAATGGCAATGGATTTTTTTTATTTTTTAGATGAAATCACATTAACAGCTGCACTCCATTTGTAGTGCTGAATACATATAATCTTGCATGCAATCCAATTGATCCGGGTGTTCTTGGGAAACGTGCCATACAGGTTTACGATCTAGTGACAACAAGGATATCGTGAGGTTTATCAGTTCAATACAATCTTGACACTACAAGTACAAAAAGTGAAGTGATAATGCCATATGTTGCAACATGGACAGGAAACGTATGCGAGGATTTGGGTGTGTTTCGAAGTGGCCTATACCAAAACCATTCCAAAACCAGGGTACGCACTAAATTACTATCTATATAAATGGGGAAAATCATGATGATTCATTGGAATTCAGTGTGCCAATAACTTCCCAAACTTCCCAATACCCTCTGGTAAACTAACATAGCTATTGAAAATGGCCATAGAAATAGTGAGTTTTCCCATTAAAAATGGTGATTTTCCATAGTTTTTCCCCCATCCATCCATCCTGGGCACCACCCCACCCGACCCCCCCAGCCACCGCGGCACCACTGCGTCCATGCGCAGCACCTCGCTGAGTGCCGTGTTGGTCTTGGCCGCGGTGGCCGCGGCGCCGCCCTCGCAGCCGAAGTCCTTCCAGCCCTGCAGGGCTTCGGAGCTCCAGGCCTTGGAGGCGAACAAAAACCCCTCTGGGAAGATAGGGTGGTTTTTTTTTGTTTTTTTCCATGTTTTTCCACATTTTTTTGGAAATCATCTATTATTTATATATATATATACTATTATTATTATTATTGTTATTATTAAATATTAATAATCTATAGAAATAATCAATTCTATCCATATTTCCCATAGATTATTAATATTTCCCATCATTGGATATATTAAATATAATATATTAATATGTACCCTCTGGTAAACTGTCCCATTGCTAGAGGAAATCACCATTTTATAGCTGGGTAAATCAACTATTTCAATGGCCATTTTCAATAGCAAACTGTCAGCCATTATCAGAGGGTAAGGTGGTTTTTCCACTGGGAATTTTCTGGAGAATGATTTTCCAGATTTTTCCACAATTGTCCATGTACATGTTTGTTGATGGAAAACATCTATACGAAGAATATAGTTTTTTTTTCATGAATTCTCCATGTAAATCTGTTTTTTGTTTTTTTTTTCCGGTGATTTTCCGGAGAATGATTTAGACAGGCTTTTGGTTGATGGAAACACCTCAAATCAGAAGTTTATATACCAGGAACAAAATGGGATTGGACCAACAAGATAGACACGTGGTACATTAGTACTGGGAAATCCTTACTGGAAGGGAATCCCCAGAGGCCACGTATCAGGTGGGACTGGCCTGACGGCTCGCCAATGGTGGACACAACAATGCTGATGAAAGATGTTCCTTATTGAATTATAGATGCTGATCATAGGAATTTTACTCACCAATAATATGTAGAATAGACCCATATATTTTGAATCTATGGGACCATAGTGTGGATTCCAGTGTGGATCATATCCACCAAAATAACAACCATCGATAGATGGACTCCATCTATCGATGGGGACGCCAGTTACAGGTTGATTCTATAACTATAGCCAGCACATTACCAGTACCATACATGTATCACATGTACCATGCAAGTAAACCTTCCTCCGAAAACAAATAAACCATGAACAATACCCCTATCCCATCTCCTTATACTGCTTGGTTAGTAAAATTTCTATTATGGCTTGAGATCATCCCCTATAACCCAGTATAACCCCCAACAAACAGACCCATCAACAAAGGTACCTTTATGGCACAAATAAATACCATATCTAAAAATGGAACTGATTGGTGAACTTGTGATATGGTTGCAGCGATTCCTCGGATGATCCTGGAAGTGGCGGAAGTGGTACCGGCTCCAGTAGGTTGATTTGATTGGCAACTAGTGAGAACAGTAGGTCGCTAGTGTAACTATACAGTCTATATATAGTCATGCTGAAAAAGAAATCACCAACTAGTACCATCCAAAATCATCCAAAATGCTTGTTGATTCATTGATTGGAATATATCCAAATCATATCCCCAATTGGCCCAATCCCCACTACGTCTCCATGATATCAATGGGAAATTCAGGACCGTAAATTGTAGGACCTCGACCACCCTACAGTAAAAGCTGGGACAGAAATGGATGAAATATCTGAAACGAGCCATTCAAAAATGCCATAACATATCCATAATTGTCCCAATTCATTCTACAGGTTGGTTGAGTTTCCAAATCCTATGGTTTATCATCATCCCCATTAAACCAGCTAGTATAATCCCCAACAAGTTAACCCATCGACAAACTGGCTAAATTATGATATCTCAGTATTAGTTCACCTGTAACTTAAGGCCACCTTCCGATCCTGAAACTTAAGGTCACAAGGCCATCTAAGGGGATGATTCCCCTATACATTCACGACGTGAATCCCAGGCTCTGGCTTCGCTCCGCCAAGCTGCTGGGCTGTGATAAATCACCCGCGCCCCGTTCTGCAGCAGCCACTTGGCCAAGGGGGAGCCGATCGCTGCAGTGGTCATGCAGATGGGCAAGATGCTGGGGGCATAGGCTAAGGCACCTCGGAAGCATGGCGCGCTTGGGGATTTCTTCAAAATGGGGATTGAATTTGATAGAACCGGGAGCAAATAATAGAGAAAAGATGATAGAACCAGAAAAATGTGGAATTCATGTGTATATATATAATATATGATAGATATATTATATAATGATATATTACCCATCAATATGGACTTGTAGTTGTCAAATAAAGGTGTTGAATCCCATTCGCCTACAGTCATATGAAAAATCCCATATGACCGGGCCCAATACAAGCCAGGGTTTGTTTGATGGGTATTAGCCAAAAAATAGTACGATAACACCTAGCTATATGTTATCATTCACCAATGGTAGTTTCTAGGCAGAAAAGCTGTAGACAGAAGCAACAATTCATGGAGATTTACTAGCACCAATGATGCTTAGCAGCTTGTTAGTAGGGTGAAACATACAGGTTATACCACAGTTGTAAATGGGATGACTCATGAAACTTGTTAACAAGGGTTATGAAACCCCATGTGGGACGATTCCCCCAGTACTTCAACAGAAATGGGGCCCGTGGATTTCTTTTGAAGGACATACCCTGCTATGACTGGAATTCCAAGTGTATGAGTGACCCTCATGATTTTGGGGAGATCTGGAATTTTGACCCATACAATAGAATATAGAATTATATAAAAGTCAGTGCAAACACAACAGCACAGAACTTCCGTGGGTCACATCTAGCCTGAGTCATCAGTCGTAGCCGTAGCGGCGTTTTTCTGGTTCCATGGGTGGCTAGGTGGTTCTCCATGTTGGCTTCACAAGATGAATACCCTCTGGTGTCATCAAACGTGGCTGGAAAAGCCCAGAACTAAATGAAACTTTTAGATGCGTTTAAAGGGAAAAACATGTGCGAATGGTGGATATTCCAAGAAGCCATGTTTGATTGCCGGAGGGTAATCATTACTTCGGAGCGCTGTGCACAACTTGAATCTCCAATCTGCAGGCTTGCAGTAAAATTGTCACCTCTCGTTCAACCTGTTGCTGTTATATGTATATATTTATATGTAATATATATGTATATATATATATACACTATAATATATATATATATATTGTATACATCATTTCAACTGTATTGGAACACGTCAGATTCAACTGTTCATTGACCTACACCGTTGAACTTAAAGATAACAGAAACAATTTATTGAAGATCTATTCATCATAGAATGTCATATAATATCCATAAGATTTCAGTCATGTTCCAGTTCTTCTTCCATTTTTTGGGACAGCCGTCCTTTCCACGGCACTTCGGAGGGCGATCTGCGTCCGGCGCAGCTCGTTGAAGTCCGTCGCAACCGCCAGCGCCCCGCTCGTGTGCGCCAGGGCGTACTCCGCGGTGACGCCCAGCGAGAAGATCCATTTGATGGGCAAACGGAAGGTGGTGTCCTGGAGCCCATTAGGGATGGTGCCATCTGATGAAAAAAATCAAAAATGATCATGTTGGAGATATGAATTTCTGCATAGGTAACTAAGAAACATAGGGCTTGGTGTATGCGGATCACATAATAATTAGTAATGGGATTATGGATTATGTTTTTTTAGTTGATGTATGATGACCAAGTTGGTGTCATTAACTAGCTAAAGTGTTGGGTTTGTGGTGGTTGTAAATTATAACCAGAGTCAAATGGGGTACCACCTCGCAAGAGTATGGAATAGATAGCTTCATGCTTGACCTGTTTAAGGTACCCTTTAGTAAATGGGCTAAAGAGACAACATTTTGGGTTTAAAACTATTACATTCTATAAATTATATACATGTTATTATATACATGTCATTCGGCAAGTTGAGTTCCTGATGTTGATGATTTATGCATATAAGAAATGCATGATAATATCACTGATGTAGGTACTGGATATCATAATCAACAACATTTTTGGGAATATGATATGCGTCATGTGGAGGTCATCTGATTTGCTCCTATGTTTGTTATTTTTCTTTTTTGGTGGTATCAGTTGCGCTTCGTAGCAGGTTTTTCCTTATGATCTGGGTGGGATTATGTTTTCATGGTACCATGGATGATGTGGATATGATGATCATTGATGATAAAACAACATGTTTAAGTCAATCAACAAACAAGACATTGGGCGAAACACATATAACAACACATGGAATATAATGGATACAATATGATACAATCAACTCAACACACACACACAGATGCAAATAATGTTAGCAAACAAATGGTTACAACAGAAACGATTCAAATAAACATATAGCATCATATAACCGAACCAAGTCAGGTTTTAATCTGAAATGATCTTAAACAAAGATCATATAATTATATAGGATCACTATCAACCATCAACCGACGACAATGAACCATCTAGAGGTATAGTAGGTTTTCTTGTCTGATCCAGCATTTGGCAACTCCCAAATCTTCCTCAAAATTGTTGGCGAACTGCTCCGTTCCAACGGATTGATCTGGTCTTGGATCAAAGACATCCCAAGCGATTCTTCCATCCCAAGGTTTAATTAAGCCTTTATCTTCCGTTTAATGACTATTAATGGCCAGATATTAGGGATTTCCGTCCCCATTTTAGAACTCCCTCCGTCCACAGATCCTGCAAACTGCTCTGATTGCTAACCCCCAAGCGGTCGGCCAGCGGCACACTGCCGCCATTGTAGTGGAGAGTCTTCGACGCGTCACGCCTCTGCATGCTGGGCTTCTGGGCTGTTTCGTTCTTGGCAAAGGGAAATGAGATGAGATGATGAAACAAATGAAAAAAAACACTAACTTGGAGATGCATGTACACTATGTGTATATATATATAGAATTCACACCAATTAATTAATTGATTAATGAATTAATGTATATGAATGTACAGAACTACAATGCCTACATACTAACCCAAGATACCAGCTCATAGCTATTGGAGCCCTTGGGAAAGGGACCAATGTTCAAGTTCAAAATTGTCGTGTCTGCTATTTGGCAGTTTCCTTTCCGCTCCCGCTTTTATGAAATCTTGTATGGAATGTTACATGTATCGCTTGAAGATTGCGACACTGTCAGTGGACTCTATTTGCAGAGGTACAGTTCAACCCGAGTTCAACCCGAAGCAAGCATGGAAGTGAACTATGAACCGTACAAACCAATCAACATATGAATCGATGAGTAAAAACGTAGCAGTATTTTCCACTTCTGGCAGTTTCCCATCCAGGAACCCAACCCTGGATTTCCAATGGGATCAACGTCCCAGGTCCTTGCATCTCGCAGCATGATGAGGTACCCCGAGATGTCTGGGATGGAATTCCCCACGAAAAACTCCTCGGTGACCGTGGCCGTGCGGATAGAAATGGCATGTCTTATGTTCAGGGCTACCCGGCTACCCTGAATGTAGGGAAATGGAGGGCATGTTTTGTCTGCGTATCATTGATCACCACAACATAACACCATTGCCGATATTGCCTTTCATCAAGAGCTGATGGTGCAATGGAAGGTGGATGGTAATTCATGGTAATTCATACTTAGCAACTTGATGATTTCACAGGAACATATGCCTAAATGTTCCGTCCAATCTTCAAGATAGGAAACAAGCAAGCAACCCCCCAACTTGAGCTAAAGTGGCGCAGGGTTGCAGGGTTGAACCTTGAAGTTAGGATATTATTTGCACACGGTGGTGCCACGTGGTGCCCCCCCAGCTATGTTGGGGTCAATGACCCCAACGTTTTTTTTAAATATGTTGCAATGATCATAAAGATCCATGACGCAAAAGTTACCCTCTGGTAAACTAACATAGCTATAGACAATTGCCAATTTATAGTTGATTTACACATGAAAAAATGTGATTTTCCATATAGTTATGTTAGTTTACCAGAGGGTAAGTGAGTTGTAGATCAATGTACCAAACTATGGGGGCACCGCCGGGCGCCGCCTTGCGGCCGTACAATCGCCGTCGCACTATTCCAGTTCTTCACTGGCACCGATTTGTTGTGGGTGAACATTCTGGTCGTCAAAATAGTCAGGGCCCAAGCCATTCCCTTGTGTTATAGCAGAATTATTTGGGGGGTTTTATAAATGGGGGTTAGATGGTTTATCACGGAAAATCCTATTAAAATGGATAACTTGGGGGTACACCCATTTTAGGAAACCTTTCAAACCTCTAGTAGTTTTTCCCCTGCTGTTCTTCGGAAACAACACACATTTTCAAGATTGAGTCTTTGCGGGTGTACAAAATCTCCTGGAGTTTCCAGAAAAAAACTGTTCTGGCTTTGGTCTATACTTAAGAACGGATCCATTCACAAAGCAACTAACCGATCAATTTACTTATTGGTGCCGCTGAAATTCTCAAAAAATATCACCATCTTTCAACACCCCAGCTGAATATAACCACCTTCAATACTTACCCCATATTTTCCGTTGTCTAAAAAAATGGTATAGTCCCAAATTTGCATTGTTTATGTTGGTAAAGGGATGAGCGTCCATTAAATTTGGGGATACCCCATTTTCAGTCAAACCCAATGGGGTGTAAAGATCCTATTCTTATAACATCAAAATCCCTTTAGGACGCTAAATTCAGGAAATAGTGTTCTAATGATTTTAAGATGCTTTGTTGCTGTCCTCATTCTATTGTTGCCTCATGTTGCCTCATTCTATTGTTGATTGTAGAGCAGCAATGATAAACCCCTTTGATACACTGTAAGATCTGTTAAGATCCGCGAAGATTCATCAAGACCCGCAGAGTTCCATCAAGATCTAGTAAGATCCTAACAACCCCTTTTGTTTGGCTAAACCCAATGTGATCGACGCTAAAAACCACTGATCCCAAAGCTTCAGTTAGCTGATGATATCCCCTTTTTCACTGGGTGAATCACTGAATTTCATGGGATCTCATGATGTCATGATTGAATAGGATCGTGATTTCATGGGGTCTTTTATGTGGATCAGTGGGATTTCATCGGTGAATTCATGGGAAAGTCCTGGAATTTCCAATGGATGAGATCCCATGAGATCCCATGAAATTCCATTCCAGATCCTAGCAAAGCCCAGGAAATATCACCGTTAAATCATCATTACCCCCCATCAAATCACAATCAAATCCATTTAAATCCCATGGAAATCACCATGAAATCATCATCAAACCATATTAAACCCCATGAAACTCCAAGAAATCGCCATGAAATCACCATGAAATCCTATAAAACCATATAAATCTCACCATTTTCCCCCTTCCGAATCACTCCCCGCGCACGCGTGGCCCGTGGCCAGGCGCCGCTTCGGAGGCCAGGACGAAGTCCACCGCCACCAAGGCCGCCGAGGTCAACGCCGAGGCGTCCCAGATCATCTCCTGGCGCGGGTTATGACGGTGAAATATCCATGGGTTACCTATGGGTTATCTATGATTCATGATCAATATATATCTATGGTTAGTAATAATGGTTAAATATATATGTTAAATATCTTATGGTTAAATATCTATGGTTAATGATGGTTAATGATGGTGAAACATGATGGTGAAAAATGATGAAATCATGAACCATCATTAACCATCATGAACCATCATGAACCATCATGAACCATCATGAACCATCATTAACCATCATTAAGCATGGTGAATCAGTAGCAAAGTATGGTTAATAGTTAATGATGGTGAAATGATGGCGAAACTTTTTTAGTGGTCAATTTGTATGGTAAGTTTATGGTTAATGATGGTGAATCAGGAGTGAAGTAGTGGGTCAACTTTTATGGTAAATCAATTGTAAATCATCTACTTGTTTTTGTTTAACCGTTTTACGATGGTGAATCAGTGGCTAAATGGTATGGTAGACAATGGGTGAAGGATGTGGGTAGTACAAAATGTATATATCCAATGGTTCATTTGATGGTTTTTTTCCCATATGGTTGTGACTATTTTGTGGGGTTTTGAAGCCATTCCCGGTTGAAATGGGTTCAATCTTGGGTGAATTTGAGATGTTCAATATATTTGAACTAAGGTGTCATTGATATATACTAAATGAATCTAAATGGATACTATTTTGAACGAGGAACATGTAAGGTGTCAAATGCATATTTGGTGAATTGAATTTACCCAACAATAACGTCAGAACCGATGATTGATGATGATTGTTTGCTTTCATTTTGCAAAAAAAACACCCTTTAATTTTGTTTCCCGGAATGTGTGCAAACGGCACCATGGATGGAGATTAGACAGAAAACAGACATTACCTATGCAAACATTGGATTCAAACAACAAACACATGGATTGAACCAACAAACACGGAAAATGAACCAGATCAACAATGGACTGTATTGAGATGTCTGGGATACAATTGGGACAAGTAAAATCCTTCAGATCGGCTAAATCCTAGTGGTTCTTAATGCTAGCTGTTTGCCGAACAAAGATGCTAGGGTTATGGACCCTAAAATAGAGGTACTGTACTGTAGAGTACCATATAAAGCCATTTTGTTGCGGGCATATCCCCCCTGACACAGCCCTAAAAAATAGGCCTTATGATATGGTAGGTAGCTCCAATAAACCGGTAACTGAAATGGCCATTACATGAAATCCCATGGAAATCACCATCAAAATCCCCACGAAACCCTACGATATCACCATTTTCCCTATTTCAATCCTATATTATCCTATATTCTTGGCTTGAAATCCATGTCCTCCATCATGAATCAGCATGTTCCATCCATGTTCCATCCATTTTCCATTTCCCCATCCCGTCTCCCGTCCTTGCTGACCAAGGTATAGATCTTCTTCAAGCTCTCCATGGCTCGCGCATGCTCAGGCGCCACGAGGAGATCGGCGCCGCTCGTTTCGGCGCCCATCAGGTAGACCTACGGTGCGAGTGAGTTTCCATGGGATTCCAGTGGGAGTACAATGGAATTTGAATGGATAATATGATTTATAATTTATAGGATTATATTGGATAATAAGATTTATATATTGGATAATATGATTATATTGGATAATCATAATGGGACTATATATTGGATTATAAGATTTATATATGATTAGAAATGATTAGAAAGAAAATCCATGCGGTTTGGAATTATCATGGCAATGATATTGGATTATATAGGATAGAATTACCATGGGATTATAATGCAATTACAGTGGGACCATATTGGATTATAAGGCTTAGGGTTTTTTAGGATATAATTGATACAATGGAACTATAATGGGATTATAACGGGGAGACTGTTCCATACTTAAGGTTTCAATGGATTTGAAGGGAAATCAACAGGAAAGGAAGGGATTGATTCCCAAATCATCAAATTCTGGAATTGCAACAAGACGTGGTTTCAACCCAGACTTGTCTCAAAATCAAGGAACAACAACAGTGAAAACCAGTGAAAAAAACCATGCGTTGGCGACTCATCATTTTCCCAGCATTCATGCCAAAAAAGGAACGACGGCGGTCAAACAGCGGTCAAAAAAAGGGGCTGCGACTTCATCTTCTTCAACCAACTGAACAACGCGGGACAGGAGAGGCACAAACTGTAGTAGAGATTAATATGCATAATTTGCGTATATTGAGAGAGATAGAGATGTTATGTACACACAAACGTTTTCGTTGCATGCAAAACAAACTGACCACTATCTATGGGCTTCATTTCACATACAGGTTCAGTTTGTATGCCAAAATCCAATGGTTCATCAGTATTATCCCAACAAAAACATGCCGAGCCACCGGAAGAGTGGGGTCAACACCTTCCGCCAACATCAGATTACCTGGGCCACGACTGGCCATATTCGGGGTATGGGTAAACAGGGTGACCCCAAAAAAGCACATTGTTGGATCATGGTGATATGATATATCTATAGAATATCTATAGATATCTATATAGGATAGATAATAGATTAATAATAGGTATATAACTATTTCTGGTTGGTGCGTTCAACCGCTTGAATCCACCAACCACAGTTGTTGGTCGAATGTTTCTATCACATGGGAAAGTCAACTTTACACCTTAGCCAATTTTGGTGATCTGCTGTATGTCTCCCCAAGCTGTCTGCTCTATGTCTTGAACATTTACCATTACACCAGCAAATCTTCCCAAAAATATGGAGGTAAACATACGGAACTATACCATCCCTGCATGGAGCATATGGATTGGTTGAACGACAAACAATCGACAAAGTTGTTGTTCAACTAAGAAATCTAAGAAGCTGGGTAGTTTAGTCGGCTCCCGAGGAAAAAAAAACACAACTTGGACACTGTGACATGTTGATCCTCGGTCATCTTTTCTCGGCTAGGACGTCGCAGCTCTCCAAAAATGACAAGAATTCCTAGGGTGGTGTATAGCCAATGAGTATCACTCAAGCTACTACAAAGTTGTTACTTCACGTTGGTAAAAAAAGAATGTCGATGCAGTGATGGTCTTTCTGGGAAAACTCAAGGGGCAGTGCCATGTACATCCTCTTCGTACTTTCTTACCCAACGTGGGAGTGAAATCAGAAGGCTACCTCTCTTTGCGCAGCAACCACCCGGTTGTATATGTTTGATGAGTTGTGATGGTTGGGAGCTATTAAAATCCTGAAAGTTCATGACAAGTCCGTAGAATGGAATTTGATCCGACATACTTAAACATTATTTTCTGGGTCTTAAAGAAGTTAATTTCAACCAAGTGGCCCACTTCCAAATGTTCCTGCTTGTTGGTTGTATATCCTCATCTCATACCTACCTCCCAATCATCCCATTCCAAATTATATTATATCCGCTTATAATGATGGTTCATGAGAGATAAATGGGCTTGTACATTCCATACATGGGTGACTTGAACTAACTTATAACTATAACTGGTATTTCGGGCCATACCTGTACCATCTATATAACATCTGCATCCCAATCATCCTATTATCCCATTCCAAACCAATTAATTATACCCCTTAAAATAGAGGTTCAGATCTTGCCAAGTGGCCCACTTCCATGGTATTGTTCATGCAGTTGTCCCTGCGCATGGCTTCCTCCTCATCGCAGGGGTCGTGCCGGAGCAGTTGCAGGACGTGAAAACGCGGAGAGCCGAGGCTGTGGGGCCTGCTGCTGTGGTCAGAACTGGTGGATGATTCCATGGCTTGAAAAAAGGAAAGCAGAAACATCCGCAGCAAAAATGACCCTTTTTGTGACGGAATTGACCGCCATCTTGTAAGAGAATTTCCACGGGAAAAATGGGGAATTGACCAGTAAAAAAAAAAGGCAAACGGGATGATTCATGATTCATGGCTCAAAACATAGACACTTCAGCAACGATTCTCATGGGATTTTTGTTGGAATTCATGGGGATTTACCCTCCCAAATCGAACAGGTCGGTCTAGAAAATCCAATGTCTTCCATGGGAACAACATCTATATCTAAGAAAGTGCGCTCTTTTAAAGATTACCGCAGTAGATTCAACCATCTGCGCCGCCAGTATCGTGGGGGAGTTGCTGAGCAGGATCCCTCAGGATCCCCCTCCTGGGCCCCTAGGGATCCAATCCAATCCCAGTTCTAGTAGGATTGGGGCTTCCAGTATCCTCATGGTGGCGTGAAATCCGAGATCATTGGATTTTTTGGAATGCAACCGTTGCGTGGTGTAATTGGGAGTCTCCTCACATATGTTGATTTTTGTATGAAACAATGGCGTCATGGTCCGACCCAAAACGCGGGCATGTGTGAAATCGGTCCATAATCACCTTTGTGGATCCAAATCATCAGGTTCACGACTCTAGCATAGTTTTCTATCTACGAAATGACATGTCATGTAAGATCAGCCTCCAAGGCTCCAATCACAGCCAAAGCAACCCCAGCTGCCTTTGGTATCCCAGGCGTTCAGCGTTTTCCCGCGCAGTCACATTGTACTTTTGGAGGCCGCTTTTCAGTTGCTGCACCGCATCCTCAGCGCAGAAATCGCCTACTCAACAGGAGATTTTGGGCCATTCTGTGCTAGCTTCAATGCAAATAGAAGGACCTGCCACGAATACACATGGCAAAGAAGATCTGTCACAACATGTAAGTCATCCAATCAATACAGTGACGACAGCCTTTGTAATATCTAGATTTGGGTATGTCTGAAAATGGGGTATACCCCCAATTATAGCCATTTAGTAGGGATAATGATCATTAACCATTGGGTGTAGGGGTACACTATTTTCAGACAAACCCATTTATTGAAGTTCATTGACATGTCAGTCGTATCAAAAAAAACAAGTTTCCAGGATGTGATCCGCAAATTTCAGGGTCGCATCCACCTTTTTTTCAGCAGCGACTGATGTCGACTCTGATAGACCAGACTGACCAAACTCACCAACTTAAATACCCTATCTGTTGCTTCCCACAATTTGAGACCTCCTGAGACCGCCTACTTAGCGAATGAGTATAAATAATTCATGAACAGGTTAACTAGGGTTTATGGTGGATATTTTCTCTATAGTTTGAACTGTAACCGGTTTGTAATTGAGGAGCACCATCTGAATCTGGTAGTTTCGCCCACATTTTCTGGCCCGAAGTCCACACGTTCGCCTTCCAAAAGATTTCCAAATCCTGATCCGACAGCTCCAGCGCCTGCCGAGTCCATTGCCATCTTTGAATTACCAGAAGTGACGATTGAATAAGGATGTTACCCTCTGGTAAATTAACATAGACCCTGAAAATAGCCTAGTTTTAATGGAAACTAATCTTCCAACCCCTATCTGCCAGGGTCTATGTTAATTTACCAGAGGGTAATCAGCAAGATAGTGACACATATGCAAGCTGTTAACCGTGAAGATGTGAGAAATTGTGATACTTGTCTCTGGATTAAACATGGAATCATATTATTGAAATACGCAATGGAAGACCCTAAAGAGCAACTTCTGCTCTATCTTGGTACGGGACACAAGGGGTAGTGTGTTGGGAATGATGTGATGAGATGATGATGCTGATGATGATGATGATGATGCTGATGATGATGATGATGACAATGATGTCATTGGCATCTAGTACTTGAATCAACAACCGTACCAGGACAGTCTAAAGTTCGATGTTTGGAAAAAAAAAGAAACGTATATTCCCTTTGGTGACGAAGCATAAGACATTAAAATGCCCAAGCACAGTCGCAAATTTCAGGTCGTTGAAACCAAATCCTTCTCCCAAAGGAAAATGCCAATAACTTGTGAGTACACCACTTTCAGACATCCTGATTCACATCATGTAAAGTTGTTTATGATCAATGATCACTATTGTGTTTTTGTCCCGCCCCATTACTAATCAAACATAAACAACTAGCAACTGCTAGTATCATCTAGTATCAAAATCCTGAATACCCCTTAGTATTAGTACAGTAGACAGTAGTTGTTTATTAATTCATCCCCTTTTTTGTATTAAACAACATTAAACAACATGTATTCACCAAGCTTTCACCTCGCCTCAACGTTCGCGAAGGTGCAGTCGCATTTCACCATTTCGATGTTCAATGGTTTCATGACATTGGATCCATCCTGAAGGGATCCCATGGAACTGAACGCGTGTTTCAACGCCAGAAATGGGGGGGGGTTAAACGCAACAATCATGAGGACATATGATGTATACGACATGTGTATATATATATGAGTGGAATGAAATATACATATTAAGTATAAGCTGTGCATCAACATATATATATATATATTGCATTGGAAAAGACTGACTTTTGCAAAGTGATAACATTGCCCGATGTATTGAATTGATGAGGGAGGTTCTGGCAGGGGGTGACCACAAATGTAAATACTATACATGTATATATATATATATATATAAATAGAACAACCCAAAAAGAACATGTTTTAATTATCACAATTTTATTGGGAATGTACTGTTCTGTCTCTCTGGGGAAACTATCATATTATATATATATTAGGTTATATTTTAGTAAATTATATTATATTATATTATATTATATATTATATTATATTATATATTATATTATATTATATATTATATTATATTATATATTATATTATATACTATATTATATTATATTATATTATATCATTTTATTTTATTTTATTTATTACATTATATTATATATGTATTACACTGGACACTTTGTCAGATGTGGAGAAAAAGTGATAGCATTGCCCGGTGTATTGAATTGATGAGGGAGGTTCTGGCAGGAGGTGACCACATATATAAATACCATACATATATATATTATATTATATATTATATACATATGGCTATCAGGGTTTTACGACTACCGGAGTTGCAACTTTGGTCCCCGCGACACCAGCTGAGCATCTGAGTGGGTCCAATAACTCCATGTTTGAGCGCCAAAGGCCTTGCCTTTGTTGAAACAAGTCCGCCAGAAAATTGGGACTCAGCAGAAAATGGTGATGTAATGGGATTTACAATGATTTCATGGAATTTTATAGTGATCAAAAACAAAGAATATACTGGTTGGTGCTTTCAAACCATCGTAAATATATGCAACAATTTCAACCACTCATCCCAAGTATGGTTGAAACATGTTGAAACACAATTCAATAAATATCAAAAACTACCAACCAGCTAATGGGAATATGTCGTGGGGTATAATTTAGATGAATAGAATTTTCAAATCCAGGTGTTAACCTATCCAACCTGTCGACCCGTGCGCATAAGATTGTTGAAAAAAACAATTATAATTTAGCCGGTTCAGGTCCACCCGAAAGGCTGCCCAAAATCTCTTGTTCTCCCAAGTTGCTTGCAGCTCCCAGTGGAGCCGTATCTTCGCATTGGCGAACGGTTTGTGGGGTCAGGGTCTCTCTAAGAAGTTTCTGTGCAGTAGATCGATTGAGAATACTCGGCAGGCCATCCTTGGACACGGCTGATTCTCAGGTGATTTGTGTTACTGAGCGCAGTCTTGTTCCCAAGACATGTGAGCCATGTTCTAAACGTCTTGTATCCTGGCACCAAATATAAGGAAATGTTTACGCCGTGCTTACGCCGGTGCTTACGTTTTGCTTGCGCGCACACAGGTTTTGCTTTCGCGGATACTTGTCTTATGCTGAGCTTACGCTGGCTTACGCTCACCAGAGTTTTGCTCATGCCACACTCTTACAAGGGGCCCCTTCCGGTTTAGAACGTAGCTCATGTGTCCTCAACTGCTTTTTTGATGTACCTACTTTTGGCACACTATTCCTTACTACATTCAACACCCTCTTGACATTGTATTGACCCATAATTCCCCACAATGTTTGGGTCAATCTGGTCTAAGTTTAAATCATAGTTTTTCCCTAGCAAATATTCACATGTGTTTGTGTATACATCCCCTATTTCCAGACAAACCAAGGGTATTTTGACCTACTTTGTCTGGTAAAATCTCACTGCTATCCAATGTTCATGGGTGAAATCCATCCAACCAACGCCAAATTCACGGCCTTGCTTTGATACCCTGCACGAAAATATGTTTCTAGCTGGTTAATATATATATATATATACATACATACATACATACATGCATGCATGCATGCATGCATACATACATACATACATACAGACACACATACACACATACATACATACATACATACATACATACATACATACATACATACATACATACATACATACATACATACATACATACATACTACATGTATATATATATACATGACTATATTACATATATATATATATATATGTATTACATACATACATACATACATACATACATACATACATACATACATACATACATACATACATACATACATACATACATACATACATACATACATACACACACATACACACATACATACAGTACATACATACATACATACATACATACATACATACATACATACATACATACATACATACATACACACATACATACATACATACATACATACATACATACATACATACATACATACATACATACATACATACATACATACATACAGACACACATACATACATACATGCATGCATATATGCATGCAGACATACATACATACATACATACATACATACATACATACATACATACATACATACATGCATGCATACATACACACACATACACACATACATACATTACATACATACATACATACATACATACATACATGCATACATACATACATACATCCATACATCCATACATTACATACATGTGTAGTATGATTATATATACATATTATGTATATATATATATATATATCATATCCCTATGGATCAAAACACTGTCTGAGAAGCTACTTAACCCCTAAATCATACCCCAAGTACTTCCTAAAGAGGTACTTGGATCCAGGGGTATATATATATATATACACATCAAGTATCCCCATCTTTAGCGCCATATTAGAGCACTAAACTGCGAAATTCCAGGTCCCGGTGCATCTCCACCAAGCATCCTGCGAACACCAGAGATCTGCTGCCTCGGGAAATATATATGATTTGAATAATGTGTACATATCTATATATATATGTAGTATTCATATATATATACACATAATTATGTGTATATATATATAGATATCCCTACTGTTCTGGTAATCTATGTGATGTGTATGATCTTTTTCTTGGGGACCTCCTCGTTTCCAGTATTCTCACGAGGGTGAGACTCACCAGCGAGTGCTCGTGACTGCTGAAAAGGAACACATGGTGCCCTGATATGCCCTTGCTGATGCAGGAATGAAACAACATCGCCATGTTTCCAGAGGGCCCTTCCCTTGCCATAGGATAGTGCTTTGCTCCTTTTTTGTGAACTTAGCAGGTTCACAGAACCCCACAATTCGACGACAATCTTTTCTCGAACCTTTCAGGTACCATACGTAAAGTTGAGGGATTTAGGAAGATTGAGGAATTGAGGAAGCTAAACAACACATATGAACCTGATGGCAGAGTACTTACCGACCTGTCCAAAATTGGATACAATATATATATATATATATCTTTTACATTTTAAATCTTTGACATCCAAAGTTGACCCGTTGTTGGTCCATATCCACCTAGGCCAACCATCCCCCTTCTGCGCCATCGCTGCCGAAGCTACAGGACTCGAGCGTTGTTGCGGTCTGCACCAGTAGTCTTTAAAAACTTTCCTCAGAGGCCCGGTTCCCAACAAGTGCATTCGGAACTTGTCTGAAAATATGGTAATTACCCCACAATACAGGGAGCAATCAACGTTTTCCCATCTAAATTGCCATAACTGGGAATATATTTTTCAATACACCCACCTGGCAAGGACCGGCAATGAGCAGTATAGCCGTCTTGGCCTTCCACCGTTGTCCAAGTTTCCGCAAGTGTTCCTCCTGGTCTTGAAAACTGTACCTTGGTCAAGCGGGACCAGGATGACCATCCGTCATGACACATGGCTGGAAAATCCCCCCTATCATCAGGCATTATTTCAAGGGGAAAATCATCGCGTTTTACGGTGAAGACCATCCCAAGACGGCCAACATTGGAGCGGTTGAAACCGGACCAGGGGTGCCATCTCAGTGTCATGTTTAGGATATACATGATATAAATGTTATTCCAGGAGCTATGTGGATACAATACAGTGGCCAATGATGCCACTAGGTATACCAAGGACCCCTGAACATAGTGAATGATGTGTATATGCAAACCTGCACGCACGGGATACATATGCGCACAGGTACACATGTATATGTGAATTATGCAAATAAAAACATGAATAAATAAATTAATTAACACATCAATAAATATACACACTATACAAATCATAATATTCATGAATCATACAAACATGTTATGTATATTATATATGTTTGATACATCATGCATGCAAACATTGTGCGATCATCTACATATAATTTATACACATATGTATATATATATATGACATAGTGATAAGCACACAAAATCTAGCAATAATGTGGAACCGTTTCCGCACATAAAAAACAAAACATATGTATAAACAATGACTTGTCGATAACGAACATGTAATTATATCATTCTATATTATGCATTACCACTCTCGTATATATATATATACACGATATGTGTTTCTCTTAATACGTATTTACACATGTTCCTATGTCGGTCCACATGGATGGGGTTGGCGACAGCTCCATCGAAACCCCTATAGGGTGGGGAACATCAAAACTGTATGGCTGGTTGGTACTGTTTGTTGGTTGATAAACCCCACTATAGTTCTATCTTCCATAGATACCATCTGGTAAACAAACATAGCTATATAAAAATATATGCACATACAACATACATACATGCATGCATGCATACATGCGTACATTACATTACATTGCATTGCATTGCATTGCATTGCGTTACATTACATTACATTACATTACATTACACACATACATGTATATATATATACATATATATAAATACATACATGAATATATATATATATATATACACATACATATATATATATACACGTACATATATATATATATATATATATGTATACACACATACATATATGACATATATATATATATATTCATATATATATATATACATATACATATACGTATACATATACATATACATATACATACACATATATGTAGCTATGGAACATGGCCCATTTAGAGTTGGTTCACCTATCAAGGTGGTAAAAAACCATAGCTAATTATGTTCGTTTCCCAAAATGTAACTACGATATAAACGAGAAACCAACTTGGCTATCTCACGGGGCCACCTTGTATGAGATCTACGTTGATTCGATGCTGTCTCAGGTGGGACTTGATTCAGGAGCCGAAAAATCGTCCTAAGTACTGCCATATGGCTAGTAAACCAGATTAGTTCGGCCGTTTGGAGTTGATTTCCCCAATCCGATTCCCATCATCTATAGTGAGTTCCTAAACCATCATATATCCATTTAAGTGTTGGTTATCACATAATTAAATCAGATTCTATCCATATATAGAGGTGACTTGTATAATTTGTATAATCTTGTATACAGTCATGTACTGTATATATATATATATATTTTTTTTTTTAATATACTGTATATTAGTTGTAATGTTGTCTGACCAATAGTGCTATCTTGTCAATAGTAGAAACATTTTTCCGCAACTCCAATTTTTCTCCAATACTAAAAGTCAATTAGCTGTATTTACTTTTAGTATTGCCAAAAGAGTCATGTTCAGACCTTGTCCAGAGGGCATGGCCAATAGTGGACCCAACATGGCAATAGTGGAAACTTTTTTCCCAACTCCAATTTTTTCTCCAATACTAAAAGTCAATTAGCTCCATTTACTTTTAGTATTGCCAAAAGCAGTCAAGTAAAGCAAATCCTTTTCAAAGCAGCCTTCACTTTTGATTAGCAAAAGCTCAGATTCCAGAAATCTGATCCAATTACCAAACAGCTGATTTCCTTATAAAACCCTTATTAAAAAAAGCAAGAAAACAGGTCCACAAAGGGTACCCCTTTGCAAGCCCCAGAATAGCAATAACAAAACTGCACCAGGCATGGCAATAGTGGAAACTTTTTTCCGCAACGCCAATTTTGTTGTCCTCCTTCTCCTTCTCCTTCTTCTCCTTCTTCTCCTCCTCCTCCTCGTCCTCCTCCTTCGCCTCCACCACCTCTGCCCCCACTTCCATGTCCACTTCCGCCTTGCCAACTCTTCGCCAATCTCTCAGAAACCCAACCAAATCCATTCGGAATCTATCAGAAACCCAACAAAACCATGGAGAATCTATCAAATACATATCATGATCCCAGCTATAGATTCCCAACAATTATTATAGGAAGGTTGACCCCCCTTAAAAAAAGAAAAACAAAATAGGGGGGGTAATTACTATTAGGCAGCCAACATTATTCATATATATATAAATATATCCCACTATATCACATGAAATCCCATATATTGGCCGACACCGAGCCGCAGGGATGTGAACAAATTCCTGCGATCCCAGCCATCACCGGGAGCGAAATCCAAGAAATTTGCCTCGTTGAACGTGCCGAAAAAAAGCAACGGGTCGAGAGCGAACAAGTAGATGTGTAAACTTGTTTAAGTATTTTTTGCTATCACTCTTATAGGATACTATAAATAAGTTATGTAGTGTTATGTATACAATATTACAATTATATATATATATATCATCATACACCATGTATAAGTATGAGATATATTGAGATATCCCATGAAACAATTTTGAGTTGTGTCTGTTCAGGTCGCAAGGACTCATAAGGGCCAACAACTGCAACTCAAGAATGTTGGCACTTTGAGGGACCCTCTGTGATGAGAGCTCCGCTCCAGTGACTTTCCCGTACACTTCGTATACATGATTATCATAAATATTGACGCGCCGTTATTTGATCATACTGTGAATGGATGAAATCCTGCATCACCTTGGATGGTTTTTCAACCCTATAAATAATGGGATGTTTAGCACCTATCAACTGGTGATTCGGATTTCGCAACCATCCACCCGTTTTTCTACTCGTCCAACCTCACTTCATCATCTAACAGGCAAAACTCCTGGACAACTGTTCAACAGGCATGACGCCAGAAGTGGAAAGAAAACGTTCGCTTAGAACGGCCACAGACCTGGCCACGTCAAAGGTCAGCAACAGAATCAGAAGTCGTGATACTCTTCCATACCCCATAATCCCATAATCCCATAATATTCATTCATATTCCCACAATATTTCCCTTACATTCCCATCATATTCCACCAGGACTTCCCAGTCTTTCCTTGGACCGGGACTTCATGCCGTCACTGTTGTTTGTTTTCCGTTTTCGCCAGGTAGGTAACTTACGGAGATGATTTCACGGTGCTTATATGCGTACCATGAGAATAAAACCAATGGCTATATATGATAATTTTCATTATATACCAAACAATATTCATGCCGTAGCCGCTCATGAGTTCACATTCGTTTCTGGTGTTCACCGAAATTGAATTCTTTGCTAAATTTGGCCAATCTTGGGTATACAGTGTTCTCCAAGCTGCTGTCTGAGCGGGCTGACTGTCTGGAATGATCACTTGAGCTCCCCAAACTACCTCAGCAAAATCCACAGCCAGCTAACAGCAAGTCGACCGAAAGTGGGGGTCCACAGAGGAACTACATCGATTACCTGGCCGCGAATAGCCGTGATTGTCGTGTGTACCGGCACTCAAGAGATTGCCTGTTCATTTGGTACGATCATATCCGGTCTACAAGGTGGTGTCCTTCTAGTTATGATTGATGGATTCTGGTGGATGATGTATCCTGATTGCCCAGTTCATCCTATATATCTACCATAAACCCCAGTTGACAGACTGAGCAAGACGAACTTACCTCCAAGACGCTGCCGTTGTCATGCCCAACACCAACTGCAACCGTTGTGCTGTCCAGTCCTCGCACGGTTTTCCAGCCAGAATACGGCGTATACCATTTTGGTTGAGGCGGAAAAAAAACACACAGTTTTCCGTGGGTTAATCAAAAAAAGAAAACAGCAACTGTTTTGTCCTGCAAAAAAATCTCACATGCATACTTATAAAATCTTATAATTATGATAATTTGTTGTTGTTGGGATTTTCCTCTTACATCCGCAAATTTTGCGCAGGAAACCAATGTAGCAGAAAGACACATTTCGCGTTTCCATTGACACCAAAAAAATGTACAGTTTCATCTAAAAAACAACATTGAAAAAACACAAAAAAAAACTCACTCGTTCACTTCTCATAAGGTGGTTCCTGCCCCAGCTACAAATTGGTTCACAACACCATGAACTAGCACGATATATCTCCCATCAACCCAACATATAAGTTACAAAACAATTTCTCTAATGACCCCAGGCACCACCAAAATCGAAGAAATCCTCCACCAGTTGGTGGTAACCTTCCCATTTTCAAATCCCACTATCCCAGTGTTTCATAGGAATCCCGGCATCCCAAGTGCTGGATTTCTTCCACAGTCCGCCCGCAGTCCCCGCAGGTCTGGAATTGGAAGGTAAAGGCCGCCAGCCCGTTCTGCGCAGACGTTCCACCTCCACCTCCAAGGTGGAAGGAAGCGAAGCTCTTCAAGTCTGGTAACTCTGGTAACTCTGGTACCTGGACCAATGCTGAGATTGTGGGAAGTTGAGAGAAAATCATATGGAGTCACATGGGTATGAGAAAAATCCAAATGGGTAATTATTGTCAATATATATATATAATATCATAGTATATACATTAAATTACATCATGTTATATTATAATAAAGTATATTACACTATATTATATCATATTATATCATATCATAATATGATCTGATATTATATTGTATTAAATTAAATCATATCACATAAAATTATATTACAATATATTATATCACATCAAATTATGTTACATTATATTATACTATATATGAGTGGTTTGTGCCCACCCCACCCCTGCCAGCGCAGCAGGACAGCGCTGCACTGAGCAGAGGGGACGCGCTGGCCCTGAGGGCAACCAGCTTCTGTTCACACCCCCCACTTCGAAGGTGGCGACACCATTTGTTTTCTTTTTGGTGGTGGCACTTTTGAAGGCCACAAACAGAAGTCCTTTGAGGGGCTACAGGGCAAACATCTGCCCGGGAAGGTCTTTAGCATTCGCCCCCCAGAACAGACGCCCGGTCTCACCTTTGCTCAGCTGAGCATGCGAGCTGATAACCTATGAGTGGTTTGTGCCCACCCCACCCCTGCCAGCGCAGCAGGACAGCGCTGCACTGAGCAGAGGGGACGCGCTGGCCCTGAGGGCAACCAGCTTCTGTTCACACTATATTATATTAAATTATAATATCAAATTATATTACATAATATTATATTATATTAAATAATATTACATTAAATTACATTATATTACATTGTACCATACTATATTACATTAAATTATATTAAATTATACGACACTATTATATTACATAAAAATATACGATATTATATATTTTCTTATTATGTTGAATTAAATTATCTTATATTACATGATCAACTATATTACATTATATTGTAGTATATCATATTGTAATATATTACAAAATATTACAATATATTAAATTATATTACATTATATTACATTATATTATACAATATTATATTATATTATGTTATATTGCTTTATATTATATTATATTGTATTATATTATGTTATATTAAATTTTATTACATTATATTGCATTATATTACATTATATTATACAGTATTATATTATATTATGTTATATTGCATTATATTAAATTATATTGTATTATATTATGTTATATTATATTACATTACATTATATTACATTATATTATACAGTATTAAATTATATTATGTTATATTGCATTATATTATATTATATTGTATTATACTATGTTATATTATATTGTATTATATTATATATTATATTATAATATATTATAATATACTATAATATACTATATCATACATATGCAGCATATGCATATATGTGTGCTTACTTCGTCTCGCTGAGGGCGTTCTTTCTTGGCTGACCATGGAATCGCCTGGGTGTCCCACCTGAAAGGGTGCCTGACTTTCCTGGCACAATTATACACAACAACGGGTAGGTGAGTATGTATTACACACCATGGTCATTACCAATATCATCAAGTATTACCATGTGAAACATTTTCACTGTACGAAATGTATCATTTAGATAGATCGACAGACAGATAGTTAGTTAGATAGGTCGACAGGTCGACAGGTCGATAGATAGATAGACAGATATACAGACAGACAGATAGAGAGATAGATAGATAGATAGATAGATAGATAGATAGGTAGGTAGGTAGGTAGGTAGGTAGATGGGTAGATGGGTAGATGGGTAGATGGGTAGATGGGTAGATGGGTAGAGAGACAAAGAGACAGAGAGACAGAGAGACAGAGAGACATGGAGAAAGAGAGATAGAGAGACAGAGAGATAGAGAGATAGATAAGATTAGATAAGATTAGATAAGATTAGATAAGATTAGATAAGATTAGATAAGATTAGATAAGATTAGAGTAAATCACATCCTCATATCCCCACAATTGTTGGACTAAATTCCCCGCATCATTCCAATGCTTTCCCATCCACAAAACCCTCTGTAATTCCGGTTGAATCTTGGGCAGTATGATCCCCTGCCCACCCCAGAGATTCTCAAGTTTTCCCAATGGCTTTTCTACAAATACCCAATATCTGTTGGTGAAATATCACCATAAATCATCAATCCTCACGTGGTGAAATCAATCAACTCATAATTGTACAACCCTAAAAAGCGCAACTAAACAGCCATTGTTTAAACTTAAAACCATAAACTTAAACCATAAATGCCAAGTTATTGCTGTTCATGGCACCTTTACTAGCCAGTATTGAACGGATTTCCCACCCTTTGAGGCGCCTCTTCCAGTCTGACTCCTATGAGCAGCAGCAGACCTTGTAGCAAGCTCTCCCAAACCCCAAAGAGCCGTGCCAGCGTCAGCAGCAGCACTGAAAGGAACCTGAGGTGGACTGAGTAGGACCCATTGATCCATTGTCTGTAGCAATGAAGGTGATGATAAATAAGCATTATAGTCATTGATGGAACGTTGTTTGTCAAAATGTCTGACCCCCAACAAAACGCATAAGCGCATTAAAAAAACTATTTTATAGTCATTGAAAAAAAGGGCTATGTGGAACATGTTGGGCTCATCTTTGGCAACATGAACGTCTATGTACACGAGCTGTTTCGGTCTTCACCAAAGTAACTACTAGGGGTTTCACCAAAACCCATTCCAAGTATATAACACTATCAATATATATATATATACATATAATATGTCATTCTATCCCACTTGTCACAGGGTGCAATTCCCCTATATCATACTCTATCCCTAGACTTGACAAGTACTCAAAAAACATCAATTTTCACACTATCAGTATGTATATATATATATATATACACATGTAATACTCTAACAGTAATCAATAAACATCTACCCTCTGGTTATTTAACATGGCTATGGAAAATGCCCCACAGATGGTTTATTGGTGAGTTACCTATCAAAAATGGTGATTTTCCATGGCTACGTTAAAAAAACCAAAGGGTGTATAATATAATATATATATATAGTTAATAAAATACATATATATATATATCATGTCTTATTATATATACAAAAACAATATACTATATATATATATATTATCCCTGTCACAGGGTGAGTATCCCACGACAAAGAAGCTCCGAGGCACAGCCACGTCCGATAGCTGCAACATGCCCTGGACGCCATGGCCACGTGGGGCCGTCCTGATATAGAGCGGGTGTTGCTGTATCTTAAACAAAAACAAACTGTAAATGTTTTATTCTAAAAAAATACATAATGTGTGATAGACTAGAATAAAATCATAAGAAACATGTGTGATGAGAAATAAACATAACACAAACATCCTGTATATTATAAGTATAATTGATTATCATTGTAGATAATTAATGCTTTTATATACGTGGAGGACATGTCAAATATATACTTGAAATTTGAAAGTCACTCCCTGTTCCCCAGGCCACACAGCTCCGACACATCAATGGGCCACCTATCCTGAATTCACTATATAATAGGCATTTAAATATGATTATAAATCATTGTAACTAATATGATGAACTAATATGATCATACATGGGCATTTAACCATTAGGATTGTTGATAGTGCATAATAGTGATTTACTGTTGGTATCTCTTAATAACATGCAATATCAAACAGTTTGCGAACTAGAACCACAGAACTACATAGGTAGCCATGAGCCATGGCTTCCATAGCAAACTGTTAAATTACAAGAAGGTACAAGCTGATATAGATGACCATGGCAATATGCATGATCCTGATGTTTGGAAATCCAGTTATATCAATCCATACTGATCATTTCTTATCGATGATCATGATCCACATCAAATCATCAACGTGACTCATGGAAACATTGAACCAAAAATGCAATTTGATGATTGATGCCAAAAACACTGCGAACAACCCTCCATTTTGGTTGTAGCATTGTACATCCAGCTGGTCACCTCGTTCACACTTCACCATGGTCCCATTTGCACAGCTTCTGAAATCTGGCGGGGCGCTAGAGATGGCTCAACAATTAGACCCCCGCATTTGACTTCTCTCCCACTGTGGAGTCTGGAAAATGTGACCGAAATCTAGGCATGTTTCGATTCAATCTTGGTAAGTAGAAGTATCATGTGGTTGCTCGCAAAAAAATAATCTATTTCTGGGCAAATTACTACAAATCATTTACCCTTCAGTAATCTAACAGCTTCCTATGGGATATATATATATATATATAACCCTTTTTCATAGGTAAACCATGGTAAATCATGAAACTCAATGGGCTTTTTTCCATAGCAATGCTAAATCTCTGGAGGGTACATTCCAATTATCCATTGTTCATCATTGTTGGTGATGTCCCATTCTTAACCCTTGTTAACTACATTTAAATTTAACTACTATTAACCACTATAACAACCATAGATCATGTCCATTATGAATTATGAAAACCATTGATAACTACTATTCATATAACCACTTTTTCACCATAGACCTACGCCGCTACGCCATCAACTGGGCCAAGCGTCATCTCCAAGCCACGACCGATGTTTCGTTGGAAGCCATGGAAGCCATCTGTTATTTTTGTCACTGGAACACCATAGAAATGGAATGTATAAATCCATAGAAATAACATAATATGTAGTCCTAAAAAGAGTAAGTCAGTGAAAGAATACCATAGAAATGACATGTATAACTTATGACAACTCCATAGAAATAACCATTTTGAACTGGTAAAGACCTTTTAACATGCTTTAACTGTAGGTCGATTTCTGGTAAACTTACTTTGCGCTAGGTGGAACATCGCACTAAATAGCAATGTTCAAACTATTGTCTTTTTTCAGCCAGGATGTCTGGTGAAAGTTGGAGGCGACAATATCTTGGGAGCTTGAAGTGTAACATCGAAGGCAAACGGCTCCCGAAGGACATATTTCCACAGCGACACGGTCTCTGGTCATCATGTGGGAATATGTGGGAGGTATTTACACGGTACCCTGTAGCAAAGCCCATTCACTCATATCAAATATGTTGTTTGGGGGTATAAAAACGCAAACCACTATCTACGTTTTCATTCTCAGCGTTTCATGTGTTTTCGTGTGTCTTTTCCGCATGATCAGCCTTGATTGACCCGCCCTGGAGGGCAGGTGTTAATGTACCTGGAGCCAAACGGCCATGGATCGATTGGTGGAAACATCTGGAAACCAAAGGTGAAATCTCTCTTGAAATTACCCTATCACATCCTATAATCCTATAGTATCCTATAGTCATCAGGATTCAATAAACTGCTTCAACCATCTGATCCACTGGTGTTTTGAGTGTTCTGATTTTTCGTTTGGAGAAGGGGATGGGGGGGTCCAGGATGTAACTTCGAGATTCCCAACATCCTCATCCAGTGGTCTTGGGTCCTGTGAGAAAAATCCAAATTAGGGCCTCCTACAGGCGAGGAAAACTTGCAGAGGCAAATCTAGCAGCTTACATTCCAGGTGCTGTA